CTCAATTAAGGTCTTCGATGCACTAAATGAGCTACTCTGCGAATAGAGCATTTACAAAAAAATTTACAAAAAAAATTACAAGCGCGCGACTGCATCGGAGTTGACTGTACTTCTGAGGGACAAAACTGAATCACGGCTCACGCTATAAAAAAATATTCACGCCTTATGGCTAATTTTTTCGCATTTTCACGACTAACGGCTAATTCTTCAGCCGTTTCACGGCTCACGTTTACACCCGATTTCAAATGAGTGCGAACTCTCGAATTTTTTTTCGGGCGCTAAACTTTCACTCGACCGTCATTCACTCGACCACTTGGTAACCTGGCACAGCTTGAAGCGGGTAAAATTATCCAAGTATAAAAACCATGGTTAATGTATGTCTGTGGACTAAATTCCTACGGTTTGTGATTGCACTACAAAACGAACTTATTGTAAAAACTAGTTTCGGTTTACTTAACTTTCTCAGCTCACAATTACAACGAAACAGTTGAAAAATAAATAGCGTGACAAATACTGACAAGTGCGCGCACTTTAAATCGCTTTTAGTGTTCGTAGGCTGTTCTTTGTTGATTTTACTAGTTTACTGATTAAAATGAAGAGGTTATCGGACGATATTCGGTGGAAGGTTATTTACCATGAGCTTATTTACGGTTCAAGCATTAAGGAAACTTGTAGAGCGTTATTTGTAGGGAAAACTTTTTTTGTAAAATTCGACAACTTTATAAACGTACAGGAAATGTTGCTGTACATACACATGTAAGTGTCATTGTAAAMTTGTATTCAATCAATCAGGGTTTTTACAGTAATACGAATAAGAATATATTTACTTCTTGGAAAGAAGGTTACATTTAAACATAACTTACTTCGTTTTTAACCTTTAATTTAAACAACAATGTTGCAATTATTTTTTCGCTTGCTTGATAATTTTTTTATAGTAAACTTAAATTGTTTACATAACGAAAGAAAAGAAAAATTTATATTTTAGTTCAACATAAGAATATCTTTTCAAGAAGACAACACCCTCAAGTTCATGGTTCTTGCAAAGCTATACCTAATTGTGCAAAGTATTATTTGCATGCATTTGATGTTTACAAGTTAATAAAGCCAAATTTAAACTACAAATCAGATAGAAAATTTATTTTTTAATCAAGTTTAGTTGATATTCTTCTAATTGTTCTCAATTGCATTGAGTGAAGTAGAATGTTCTGGGAAACACAAGGACCACAGGTATCTCGAACAAAGACCACCGCTTCTTCCTCCATAATTCTAAATGCGAAAGTCCCGCTACAGAAAGTCACGCATCATTTACTAAACACGTGTGCCTGGTTACCAAGCGGTCGAGTGAATGACGGTCGAGTGAAAGTTTAGCGYTCAAAAAAAATTCGAGAGTTCGCACTCATTTGAAATCGGGTGTAACCCCATTGAGACCCTCAAACTAGGATGAATTAACATGAATGTCTACAGAGTGGCCTTAAGTGCCATTCAGTTTTTTTTTTGACTCATTGATTTATATCATAAAATTCATATTATTAGCTTTTTTGACATATTTTTCCATATCCGTTTCAAAGTATTAAYTAGGAAATCAGATTAGCGAAACGAATTTTTTTCCACGTGCGAAAWGCGTTTCGTCCACTCAGCAAATCTGATTTCTGACAGGTAATGTCACTTAAGATGTACGCTTTATACAGTACTAGTTTAGTTATATCACAACTGTTTCGTGCAGCAACAACAACAACAACAAAAATAATAATAATAATAATAAAAATAAAAAGGAAAGAAAAAGAAGCCGTTCTAGTGTTTTGATAACGGGATCACTGTCAATGCGCGTCCATGGGTTGGACATTTTATTTTTYGTTGCAAGTTGATGGGACAAGACAATTTGACGTGCCGTCAAAATACATTTGATTGGCTTTCGATCAAAGTTTGCAGTTGCTGAAGAAGTTTAGACCACTTTTTCTGGAAAAATACTTTTTAGGCAAAATAAGTACCGGAATGTTGAAAGGTRGTTTTCTCACCATGCAACCATAGTTRATAGTTAATATTAGTTAATAGTTAATATTAACTATGATGCAACGCACTTTCAAAACGCACTTGTTGCATCTGAGCTAGTTAGTTTTCGTTTCAGGGTCTAATAAAGCTTYGAGTGTGTACGATGCCAAAGGATCGATATCACCCTGGGAGGGCAAATATCTCCAGATATYTGTCCCCTCAAAAAGTACCACGTGACGTGTTTCTGCCAATGAACTCACGTAAAATTACATAGTAGGTATATAAAGACGTATAGACTTAATATTCACCTTCAGTACGACGTATAACATGCTTAGGCTTTATTTATAAAGCAAAAATATAAGATTGTTTACTCGAGGCACCCGCAATTCTTCACAGTAACCAGTACAACTGAACTCAATTTTTTTTCAAATTCTATCATAATCTATCCTATTAAAAAAGTAACTTGCCGCAAAAAGATTTTGAATTGGATRAATTCCCGATATTTATTGTTATTTTGAATTCCCTCCAGTTCGGAAAAATGCGCTCTCTTTGAAACCAGAGGTATGGTGTGACGTCTACTAAGGAATCGTCTCTCACATTTCTAGAGTTTTTCAAAGTAAATGATGGAGATTCAAGGTATTCATTCCTGTTATAAACACCTTTGAATTAAGCCAATTTTCATCAATTCGTTGTTGAAATATCAAGAAATGTGAGAACTTTGGTTCATTAGTAGACGTCATACCATTCCCGACTCAGGTCCCTATGATAGTTCGCGGCCATTTCGGAATTATCGAAAATTTCATAACTTTAACGTTTCACGAAAAAACGATCTTTTAACCGACTTTCATGAAGGCCCAAAAAACATTTTATTTTTCCATGTTGGTTTTCCTGATCTTTGAAAAAAATTGAGTTCAGTTGCACATTAATCTTTAGCTAATATATATATGTGTTGGACACGTATGCCGACGTCAAGATGTGAGTCTAAGAGCTCTTCACCCCTAAAGTAATCGTCATCTTAAGTGGTGTAAAATCCAGCTACTTATACAGCCAGACAGGCACAGACTATAACAGCACCGTCTTTAATGTCATAGTTTGGTCCACTTGCGAATAGTCCAAAGCTTGGTTCTTGGTCTCGATTGGTTATTTCTCCTCTTTTCATGGCCATCGGTACCGCTGCTTTTTTCATCTCGTCCGGTATCAAGTCTCTTCGATAGGTGGCTTTACGGTTATTGGTGCAATGGATTGTCTGGGACATTTCACCTTAAACGATATAAGAATGTGTGTTACAGCCTTTTGCAAAAATTATGAGAATTGTTGAAATATCTAAATATCATAATATCAAGTGCATGATCCCGCGCGATGCCCTTAGTCCCTTGTCTTCGTTGTTTAGTTTTTTTTGGCGACGGACTTATTCGTAGTTCTGAGCATTTTCTCGATGTCAACAATGAATTATTCTAGCAAACCCGCGTGTTCCGGACAATATATGGATATGGATATTATGATATTTAGATATTTAGACAATTCTCATAATTTTTGCAAAAGGCTGTATATACTGAGTAGTTTAAAAAGTCGTTTTATTTAGAAATAATTTTGAT